GCTCGAGTTTCTCGTTTCTTTTCCTTGAAAACAATTTATTCATTTCGTACAACGCCACCGATATTCCAAAACAGCCGATGGAATCGCCATCTCGTTGCATTACTACTAGTGAAGTAATTGAGTAGGAAATGTGATTATGCTTGCTAAGTCGAAGGTGGAGAGATGTTTTCGATCCAATTTCTTCACGAATAATTTCGAATAATTTTTTTCTTTTATTTCCATCCGTGAAAACGTGACGATGAATTTGTCTAAGAAACTTTTTCCCTTGTATTCGTAATGAAGATATTAGGAAATAGATATTTTTACAGTTACAGCATTGGAATACGAGTGATTTTTTTATTCTTTATTCGTAACATTTTGTAATTATTTCGTAATTATTTTGAAAATGATTAAAAAATTATTATGCGCGTCATGGGAATTCAAACTGTTCTTTGTGTTTTCTATTTACGTAAAGGCAATTCCGAGTAAGATTTACTCGTTAAAACGGATCTATTTGATAGTTATAACTACGAAGAATTGATTGTCTTGATATAAAATGATGGTAAATTGACTTCGCTCCGATAGAGACTCCCTACGAAGACTCGCGGTTAGCCTCGCTTGATAAGTACGTAATATAAGGTCACGATGTTAATACGTCGTGTTATTCGCCGCGAAACGTAACCATTAACAGAACTGTTTGTACACACAGCTCGAGTTCTGGCAGGCGTTCGAGACGCGTATTCGAAGAATAAAATTTCTCTCAAACGTAGGAGATTCGATCTAGAGATTATAAACGATTACAGATCGTTATCCCTCAACTCAATTCTCTAAATTTTGATAAAATATGGAAATACTCGGATATTTTCGTAACTAACCACGAATAATTGAATGTTTAAACAATTCCATAAATAATCTTTGAAATAATGCGTAAATATTTTCGCGATAAATACAATTGAAATTACGATAATTAAGACAGTCGTAATTTTTATAAATTGTTTATAAAAAAGGAAAAACATTATTGCAAGCAGAATTAAAATTACATGAAATTACTTATATGGATGCACGTATATAGATTTAATAACACAATGCACGAAGTTTTCGAATGGTTCGTGAGCCACTCATTGTCCCGCGCGTTAAATAAGAAAATAACGTAACAGTCGAGTCATTTGAGTCGCCAAATGATTCATACTCGTGAAACGCGCTGCAGCTTAAAACACGCTTCCTGCTATGGAGAGCGGGTCCACCAGCTCCCTTTATGGACAATAGCCATATTGCATAATGCGCTTGAATCGCCTGCATTTTTCGAGCAAACTAGATTCGAGACAAGATCCCTAAATCGTTTCTAATCTCGATATCTTTTCGTATCCAATATCGATAAACAACTCCAGGTGATTCTTTTACCTGCTACGAATCGATCAATCTTCTTTTTTTCCCCTTCCTTTCTACCTGGAATCGGAAAGATAAATTTACTTTAAGGGTTTATGAGAAATGATTTTCATCCTCTCGAATACGATGATTAGGGGAAGGTTAGAAGCAGGTCGATTCGATTTGGAATAATTTGTATCATAATTTTTCAAATAATAATAATTTGAGCGCGTAAGAGTATAAATAATGTAATTTTCGAGATATAAAAATAACAATTCGACCCAATTTACCATTCTTATTTTAGAAACGATATATAAGAAAAGTAGAACTTTTTGTCTGAGTCGAGATTAAATAAAATATCGGATATATAATTTCATATCAGTGATCGATATATAAAAAGTGTCGAGGAAATTTGTATTTCTGACGAAATTATTTGTTACGTTGGTGTAACAGAAACCACTCGAAAAATAGAATCGAGTCAAACAAGTTTCATACTTGATACAACACGACTTTCGTTTTACTCGAATAACGCCCAACCCTGACCCATCGTCCAAGACTTGATTTACGACTACACAAACAAGTATTTAAATTTCCATCCTCTCGGAATAAAATTCCCCAAATCTTCCATAAATTCTTCCAGTCACGATCCACAAGGGAATAACCAAGTGTAAACTATCGACTCGATGAAATTAAAATGCGAAATTAAAAAAAAAAAAAAAAAGAAGAATCCAACAATCTCGCATTTAATTTCCTTCAATCTAGCCACTGAGAAATACTCTCTTGAAACAGCCGTTTCCGCGCACTCCACGTTTCCAATTTATGAATCATATGAGATATCGCGCAAGTTTCTTTAGTCACGGTTCGAAGTTTACCAGCCATTCTTCTAAATTTCCATCGAACCGTGTACACTATGAACTATTCGATTTTTTTCGAGTCACGGTTGGTAGACAATCGTTAATTGAATTTGCGAATGGATGCGCGAGAAACGATGCAGAGAGAGGAAAGGGTTAAGACAGAGAGAAGCAGAGTGTCTCTCGTGGCAAGCGGTGACAGGGCGTTCGTTTTATCGGAACGAGGCGTCGACGAGCATCGACACTCTTTTATCAAAGTCGACCAGGATTTCGTTCACAATCGTATAGGTCGTCCTCACCTACCTATTTTTATTATCCACCCCGCGTGTTCGACCACTCGTGATGATCATGATATCTTCTTTTTTTTATTCCTTTCTTTCGTTTCTTTCATCTTTCGTGTCAATTCTTCTTTGTCGAGTGATTCCTTTGTAACAATTTTCGATTCCTTTGCTTTTCTTTTCGAAGATTTCATATTGTTTTCGATGGGTTTAAATTAAGTAGTTTCATTAAGTTGTTTCGAACGAATTCAACGTTTTCGTGGATATTAGGAACGTATTAATTTTGCGTGTCGAACGAATCAGATTTTGAGATGAAGATTTTAATTGAAGGTTTTGTTTTATACGCGGAGATAGTCTTGTGTCGAAAGACAATGTCTGAAGCGTTATTTGACACATTTTCTATATCTTCGAATTACGAAAAAAAGAAGCTGGTCATTCGTCATGTCCAAGGATGACGGTTTGTTTTGTTTTCAAACGTTAAATTTTATCATAAGTATTACGATATTGCATTACTGCTGCGTAACAAATCGGCACGTGGGAAATTCTAGTCGCACAGAATAGATACTGACGCGTCATGCATCGTGAATTGACTTGATAAAAAAAAAAAGAAAAAAAAAAAAAAGAAGAAGAAGAAGAATCATTCTCAGGTTTTTTCACGCATGAAAAATCTTCAGTCGACTTGGTAATTCGGCTTTGCTCTTGTATCCCAGTTTCAGTCAAAGTGTTTTTACGCTTTTATTATTAGTTTATTATCACATATTATATAAATATCAACTTTTACGTCATGTTGTTTAAACATTATAATATAAGGCAAATTAAATATTATTCTCGTCGATGGAACGATGCGAAAACAGTCACAGTGTAAACATTGTGGGTGTGCAAGGTTCATCGCATAGACAAATTTCAGTTTAATTTATCTTTACGTTGCCCTATCACGACTTCGCTTTAAAATGAATGAAAACTCACGTTGGCGGGATTGGCGAGCGAATTTAGAAAATACGCGCGGTTTTCAGGCGACAGGAAGCGCAATTTCGCCCACGCGTTGCAGCTACATCCTCTTTAACGAAAATGCTTTCTGTCATCTGTTCCTTCCACGTTTCGACGTCGTTCGTATTCTTCAATTATCGAAAAATCGATCGTTGATTTCCTCCCTTCGAAAATGTATACGAGTGTAGTAAACCGATGCCTATTTTTCTTTTTTTTCTTTTTTAAGTAAATATCGTCAGTATATTGAAAATTAGAATGAGTAAAAATAGAATTTCTTTTCCTTTGTTTTTGCTTTATTACGCGAATTGATCGATTTTACGAATCGTTGGGAAATGATTCATTTGGAATTTATAGGTTTGAACTTGTAGATTGAAGGATATATATCTTTACTCAAAGATCGAATGATTAATTCGAAATTCCACTGTTTTTTTTTTATGTTTATTTATTTTTGGGAAATTCCAATAATTGTAAACTCTTACGTATTACGATATTCAAGGTTTGATCAATTTTTCAATAAACCTACCAACCATTCTCCATCTTCAGTAATCTCAATTAGAAAAAAATTCTCTATAATCTGTTATCATCGTAAGAATGAAATAACCACTTCAATATTCTTCTGTTACTTTTCCTACGTTATTCAATCACTCGATAACGAAGAATCTCGTAAACGGAGCAGCTCGATTTAACGATGCACAACATTTTATCACTGGAAATAATTTCTAAACAGATAAAAGAGAGACTTTTATTTAACCTTGGATCGCAAGTCGCACTTTTTAATCTCGATTCGATTTTGATAATGGAACGTCTCTCTGGCATCGTTCGCTTGTGGGAATTGAAACATTCGAATCGATGATAATTTCAGTTGCTCGTCGCCAATAGCGATTAGATCCGAATCATGATTGTCTATCGATCATTTTATCCAACGAATAAAATTGAGAATCGAGATCTCTGTGAATTCGATATTCTTTGTCCTCTCCTTTTTGCGCTCTTGTAAAGAGGATTGTAAAGAGGATGTAATAATATCGAAAAAAAGAGAAAATTATTCGATATAAGATATTTCATCACCGAAACAGTCAACAATTTTTAATTAATACAATAGCAGAAAAAATACGTACGTACGAAATACATAGTATACTCGTTTGAATGATTGATCGATTCTAGAGGGCAAAACAAATAGAGAAATTGTTATATAAAAATATCGGTCGAGGTTTATTTTATAAGTAATTGAATTTTGTCCTCGTTTCGCGCAAACATCAATTACTCATAACTTAACGAACAATCGAAATTTTTGTACAGTCAATTCTCGCAATTACTCTATTATTCCCTATATTTCATTTCATTTTTATCGAAATTAATAAAAAAAAAAACGAAGAAGGATAAATACGACAGTAGTGCGGCTCTAGTGGAAGCGCAGTTTCCAAATCCCTTCTCGACTCGTTAAGATACGAAAACTCAATCCCGAGTAGAATGAAGGTTTGGAAGAAAAATTAGCGGTGGATAAATTGTGACGGTCAGATGAATCACGAGACGAATTGCACAGGCAGAATCGAAGTGACGGAAGAAGGGGAAGTTCCGCGGACATTCACACGTGGATGCTGTGGCCTGTGTTGGGGGATGACGGGCTGAGCCCAACGTCGCCCCCGGCGTCGGCCAGTGTCAAGGGGGTGAACAAACTGGCGCCCCTGCTGCTCTGCGCCCCCTGCAAGCCCACCAGTCACAGGAAGAACCAGAATTCCACCCAGTGGTACGTGCAGCAGGTAAACAACAACACACAAAACAACTCCCAAATGAATTCGTCATCCTCGTTTTACTTTGCCCTCTCGTTCGTTTGCCTATTTCTCTCTCTTTCGATTTTTTCTCTTTCTTTCTTTCTTTTTTTTTCTGGCCCCTTTTATCTTCTTCTTTCATTTTCTTCTCTTCTTCCCTTTTTTTCTTCTTCTTCTTCTTCTCGATTGTTCGTTATTTATCGATATTTTCTTTTCTGTTGCCTGATTGTGGGTGATTCCCTCGTTTCGTTCTTCTTTTTCTCGCGTGTGTACTTTGCGTTACGGTTTAATTTTTTTTTTTTTTTTGAAGCGAGTAGAGTCTCGTTTCACAGCTGGGTTCGGCTACGTGACTTTGAGCGTATACAAGGGAAAATAAGAAAATTCTTTGGGTTGTGCGGATTGAACGTTGAAGAAGTTTCAAGCGAGAAATTTTGTATAGAGCGTTCGAAAAGTTGGAGAGTTTTGGATACGCGTTTGTTTGTTTTAGAAGAGTTTTGTGAGAGAGGGAGGTTGGAAGCAAGACGTTTTCGAGTAAATCTTGTGAAGTCGTTTAAGTAAATATTAGTGTTATATGGAGTGTATACGCGAGGGATGTAATCGGATTTGGAAAAATAGGTCAGAAATTTTACACGCGTATCTTTCCCAAAAATATTAAAAAAAAAATTATATTTTCTCGTTAATAAGATAAATCTTTTTGAATATTGAGATATTTTTTAATAAAAAAAGTAAATGGGAAAGTGTTATCATCGATTCCTGTTTCTTTTTTTTCAAAAATGAGTGACAAAAGTTAGCATTAGTTTTAACATTATTGTGATCAATTTTTAATGATTTAATAAAATTCAACGAAATTGATCATCAGAAATATCGAATAATGCAATCATTTACGTGTCGAACCTATCACAGCTGGAAATCTGATTCTATTCAATTAGAAAGTGTCGAAATTGCCTGTTCCTTTTTCTTGATAATACGATTGTTTCCGTATTCAGTAGATGATTTCGATTAATATTCGAATAAATTGTGCGAAAGTTCACTCGAACGTATTCGATTTGGTAGATACATAGGAATATTTAAAATCGTCTTCAATCTCTTCGCTTTTATTCAATTATGAAATTAAAAAATTTCAACAATTAAAAAAAAAATTGCATATAATTGGTGAGTTCAATCGAGCTCGAATTAATCGATGAAAATTTTTAAGAATTTCAATTTCACGATAAAGATTCGTATTTTTGAAAATAAATTCGATGTTATTCGAAGATTTCGATTGACACCGCATAATCTTTGATGTTATTAAGATGATATGAGAGATATATGAACGATATATCGATAAGCTATTAAAACAAATTGCTTTCGCACGTAGCGTTTCTTTAACATTGTTGTGAGTTTCATTATTATTTAGTGTGCATGTCTGTACCTGTTATTGCAACCGTAGCAATGGTTTCTCTCGTGCATGAGAACGAGAGAGAATAGCATCATCGATTATTATTATTATTATTAACAGTAATAAATTGTTAATTTTACATCGAAGTGAATTTCATAAATTGGATAAATGTATTTCGATTAAATTTACAATATTATATGAGGAAATGTTTCAGGCATTGATTTTCTGCGAATATTGCATTAGTTTTGATTCATTTAAACGTGATTCGATTAAGATATCTTTAACTCGATCAATTTTTTTTAATTCGATATCTTAAACGAACATTGGAATATTCCATCGAAGAATTGAATTTTCTACAACAAAAAAAAAGGGGGAAATCTTAAGCAATTAATGCTATTGTTCGAAGAAACAAGATGTTTCAAAGAAAAAGGCTGACACCATAGAAAGTGTTGTCCATAGAAGGCGAACTTTCAACGTTAGAATTAACATAAAGGCGAGCCATTGTGTTATATACCTACTTGTACTTATCTATTCAACCGAGAATATCAAGTAGATAGATTCCTTTTTTTTTTCGTTCGAAATTTCCTAGAACAATGTTGCTCAATTTTTTTCGATACGATAGCTAATTCTTCCGTTAATATTCAAAGATCGATACAATAAATCTTACATTTGTTACATTTTGGATTTTCATTTTTTGAATGTAAAAAAAAAATAATAATAATAATAACAATAATCTTCGATTTCTGTAAAATCTTTCAAAAAATAATTTCTCCATTCATCGTTTTCATATCTCGACAAGAACTTTTCCATTACCCTTGTTATCAAACTTTTTTTCTCTTCGCGTATCAATTGTATATTATTTTTATTTCGTCCAATAAATTTACAACAAGCTATATTTGCTCTCGTGCAAAACGATTGCGCGTAAACATTTCTATCATACTATCTTCTTGTATCTTCTTTTGCACTGATAAATCGATCAAGTGTTGAAACGAACAATGATATAGAATTTCGACGATCGCGTGATTTCATTTCGCAAGTGAATCATACAGGAGCCACTCTGGAACATGATCTCTTTGGCGCGGCACATGGAAGTGGTAATCAGGGTCAGAGTGTCATCGGAACTGTATCGTTGTCGTTAATGACCAGGATGGACAGTATGCAAATAAAGACTGACGTATGATTACATTGACCCGATCGCCGGTGAATAAAGTCGAGGCTTCGTTTCGTTTGATATTTCGTATTCCATTAGAGAGTCGATAAATTGTTCTTCAATCGAAAATTGACGATACATTTCAATCGTAAAAATATTTAATCCCAGTAATTGTGTCCATTTTCTCTGAAAAATTGTATTATAGCGAGGAAAATGACAATTTCTAAGATCGAAATCTATTTTTGAGAAAATATTTATCGTTCTTTTTAATTGCAATTCTTTTTTCGTGAAGCTTTTTTTTAAATAACATTCCTTGGATATTGGAATTCAGATTTCAATTGGAAAGTAAAGATAGTACAGTGGAGAATTTTATTCGATTAGAAATTAAATGTTTAATCGATTGGATACTTTTTTGACCAACTGTACCTCTATCAGGGAGATTGGTTTTCTCTTATCGAGCCGTGAAAATTAATATGGTTATTCAAACATGCGACACTTTTCGTTTCCAGATATGATTATATGATTTTCCTTGTGACATAACCCAGTTTTACGTCACTTGATTAATTTTCAACCGATTTAACGGATGGAAATTTTCTCATTTCGCGTCAATTCGCTATTTTCGCTTCGAATTTGATGCTTACTCGATGAATTATGCGAGGAATAACAAATATTCCATTTACACATTTAAATCGAAGAGTTCTCTCGAATTAGATAAGCTTCGTTTGCTATTTTTTTTTTTTTTCTCACATTTCTAAGAGCCATGGAGCAGAAAAAAATCGATACGTCAGGCTAACATTTTTTTTTATCTTCGGTTGACTCATAGATATCGACTTTTTGTACTCGATATTTAGAAAAGTTAAATATACATGCAAATGTACATGATTGAATACATTAAATATCTCTATTTATTTTCAAAAATTTTGATTTATATTTCTTTTTTAAAATGAACTTTTTGAAATTTTTTATCTTCAAATCCAGCTGGATCATTTGACGTATTTGTTATAAAATTTATGTTATAAAATATATTTTAAAATCGTATTATCTAAGAATTATCGAAATCATAAGTTGAAAAATATTTGTTATCAATTTTTAGTTTAAACTTAGAATATTATTATTATATAAAAAATTGTAAGAAATATTTATTAAAATATTAAAAATTTCACGTATCGACGAATCGGTTGGATATTTCGTTTTCTTAATCATGGAAATTGGGTTACGAGTACGAACGCTTTAAAGTGCTTTGACACCTTATGTACACGAATGTGAATGAATCATCCTCCCTTCTGTCACCACTTTGTTTAATTGCTTGTCTAGAATCAGTAATTTACGTACTGACTTACGGATCCGTATAATTATACGTTGCCTGACCGGAAACAAACCAATTCTCTCTCGAGAAGCAAGAAGAAAATTTTCTTTGTCCCATTAAATTATAACCAAACAATCTGTTCGCCAGATACGATTATTTCGATCTGTTTATTAAACGCCTCGATGTGTTTGCAATTGTGGCTCATTATGTATCTTGATCGTCATCTTGCTCGTTTCTGACACGTGATCGCGATAAATTGTACTCGCAGTTAAATATTTGGGACACATCGTATTGGTGACAAATCTAAATAACGAATAAAATTAATTCCTTTTTTTTAAACACGCATATACAAAATTTTTTATTCAATTTGTGATTATCAAGTAAAAATTGGTAATTTGAAAATCTTTTAACAGGCAAATATGAAATTCTGATCTTAAGTATAAATTGCAAATATTTTTTTCTAAAAAATTCTTATATTAAAATATATATAACGTTTTCGAGTTGTGTTCACTTTTGAAATACCGCACACGATATGGGATAAATTAATCGAATGAATTATGATATATATAAAAGGGTATTGACATAAGAGTTAAATTTATTCTTTTATCTATCTCGTGACTATTATCTCTTAATACCAATCAAAGAAATCCATAGAGTTAAGTACCACTTCTGCGTCCTTTGACGAGGAAAGAATAGTGGCACAGTTGGAATCGTTGACCCTGACTTCTCTCGTTTGAAGAACTTTTCGGCGGCGTTAACACGTTCCAGGCGTATTGTTCCTTCCATTGAGGTGTTTGAAGGTACACACACCGCCTACGTGAGTGGGCTTTGTGGCAGGCATCAACAAAGCTCCGCTTTATCAGAGCTCGTTCTTTGAACTTCCGGCCCGTCTTGGTACCAACGCCACTATTTCTCACTTGTCGCGGCCATCCCCTCTCTCTCTCTTCTCGATCGTGTTTGTCCTTCGCATTCGAGATCCTTTTTCGTTTTGAATGACGAATCATTTTCTTTTTTTTCTCTCCACTTAATTAATAAACCGTGGAAACGGCTTTTAAGTAGCCATTGTTACGGGCGGAAATCCATGAGTTACGATTAACGAGCGAATTATCATTCGTTTTTCTGTTTTCTATCGTGGCTGAAACAAGGTCAGGATTACA